CCCACGTCCCTATATATCCTTTAGTAATTCAACCTTTTTCTTATCCAGATCGGTTATTTATATCATCAATCTTTCATTTAATTATTAACATTAGTATTTATCGATTTTTTATTCATCATTACGTTTCTTTGCCTAAATTCACATTATCAACACTAATATCAACTAAAATCTTTTCAGTAAGCAAAAAACTAAACATTTTTTATATCTTGTCAGAATTATCTCTGTAAACTTATGTGATGAATATAAGAGGAAATATCAAAAGATTTAAAGAAGATGAAAGAAATTATATTTCACTTACAAAAATAACAACAAGGGAGCATGCCCTAAAAAATTAATCTATGACCAAAGAATAGACTAATGTAGAAGATGTTAATTTTCTACCTAATATATATCTTAATAATTAGTAATTATATTAGTATTAACATTAAAAAAGCATTACCCCCCCCCCAAAATCTCATTAGTACTTGTTTGTATTGCGATTTATCATAAATTTTGTTCGATTATAGTGAAATTTTTATTGACAATATTTTTTTTCTTACACACAAGTATTTTATAAATTCTAACGGAGGTAATCAAAATTTCACATGAAAGATATATAGATTTTTTTTTAATCAAATTACATGTATTTTAAAAAACTTTAATTTCTTGTAAAATAAAACTCTCTTTGATTTATTTAAAATTAGGTAAATTTTCATTCTACTTTTAGACATGTAACCCTTTTTCTAACATATATAATAAGTTATAAAAGAATGGCAAGTTTTACTAAAATTGGCTAACTTTTGATTTCAATAGAAATTTGTGCTGATTCTAAAAATAAAATTCTAATTTTATAGTAACTGAATAATATAATAGATATTTAAGTAAGTTGTAAAATTTGACAGAAATCTGTTTAATTAATAAAGTTTATAAATTCACAGTAGTTTTAATTTATAATCAGAATGTAGGAGAGAAATAAGGAATGTGGAAGGAAATTTAGGAGGTGTGGTTAGGGGTAATTTCGTGATTTTAAATCTATATATTAATATCTGATTCTTTTAAATAAATATAATTTTTATGATCTTTATAATAAATACTATATTTTCTAGGTCCTTCTCACTAATTTTCCCTAAAATTTTGTCATTTGCATGCTTTGTAATTATATAAATAAAATCCATCTAATTAAGCGTTTAGTTGTTACAAATTTTTCCTGATAATATATTAACTCTTTTTTATTTTAAAATTATAATTATAATTTTACTATCCCTTTAAGTTATCAAATTATATACCTTTTATGGTTTTACCCACACACATAACAAAAACACATCTTTCTCAATCACTTTTATCAAAAATCTACTTTTCAATTATATCATTTAACCAAATTTCAGCTTGTCAAATTAATTTTTCATAAAAGTGCAACAAAAAAAAAAGGAAAAATGGCAAAAAAAAGACTACCGAAATGAAAAAATTGCAAATAACGACTCATGACAATATTAATATAGGTTTTGATAATAATTTTTACAAAGGTTCCTACGTGCAACTTTTCTATTTTGGCAGTCTTTTTTTTACTATTTTTGAAAAATGAATTACATTACCAATTAACTTTCACCCCAATTTTCGGATGTGTTTATGATAGCAGTGAGCAGAGGCAAAACCACACTTAGGAAGGAAAACGCTTAGCCATAATATTTGGATCAGCATTTTGTTGGAAGGGCTTATGAACCAAAACCTACATCACCATGAAAGCCATCTTGAGGTGCTTCGAGAAAAAAGTTATCTTGCCATCGTGGAGAGAGAAGAGAATATGACAATGAAAAAAAAAAAAGAAAGTCAAAGTGAGTCCCACTCGCTTTAATAAAATAAATGATAAAACTACTATAGGAGCCAATAGCTTAATGCTTGTAATGGCATCTTGAGAGGGAAAAAAATATGTAATTAAGTGTTTATTAGTATTTACAATTTTTTCTAATAATACACGAACTCTTTTCATTTTTTATAATTACAATTTTAATATTTTTAAAGTTATCAAATTATCTAAATATAATATATATCTAATTGAGCCTAGCAATGATCAAGCCTGATCTAGATAGCCATATCAATATATTTATTTATTTATTTTTAATCATTTAACATCTAATCATACTCTTAAATTTTATCATCTAAACAAATTTCACGTTGTCAAACTAATTTTTTTTTACAATAATCAATCTAAACATAAATCATATTATATAAATTAATTTTATTCTAATTTCAATTTACAAAATCATATAAAATAAAAATCACTTTTACCATAACTAATCCAAACGCATCCTTAGTTGGCAAATACAAATGTTCATCTAAACAAGCCCATATGCCAAAGCAAATCCTTCAAGAAATTCTTACATTTAGAACTAAAGGGAATACTAATTAGGCGCCTCGTTCGCACTTCTGCAGAAATCGTATTTTTTCTGATAACTTCCGTAACTTACATCACACTACACATACAAAAATATGCACAACCGAGAAAAATATACGGCCTGAAAAGCACACTAGACACTGGAGGCAAATATATGATGCTCTTGAAAACATTTTACACGTAACATACAAAAGCAATACAAACAGATGCAGGGTTGACAAAGGGTAACAGAGCCCTAAAAAATTTGCTTTAGCCATTTTGTCACAACCATACCATTTTCTCAAAGGCCGTTGGCGCAGCAAGTGGTGCAGATAAATAGAAACGACAAATCTTCACTTAAAAAATTGCTTGGCTAGTGTTCTGTTACAAATTCCAAGTATTAGCATGCCCCAGGACACAAAAATTGGAAAAGAAAAAGATTGCTTAAGCCATTAAGTGCCTTCATAAATTCTGATTCAAGACAGCAACTGGCACTTTCCAGCGGTTTCAACTTCCATCCATACTGGTACAGCTTGATCACCCAGAAACTGACTGAATCTTGGAGCACGAATCAGACAATCTCATAATTATTAGACTCAGTCGTTTTTTTTTTTTTTTTTGGTCAGTTTCTTCATTCGCTTCTATAAACCTCATCGTTTTCACATTGGCTTTTCCCAGTTGCTGGAGTTTCTCTGGCGTCCTTTGGAACCTCATAAAGGGTTATACTGCTACTGCCAATTCGAAGCATCTGCTCTTCTACATTTTCCTCCTTTGACTGAAAATTTTCAAGAATTTCAACAACCTGACTCATCAGAGGCCTGCCTTTTGGGTTTTGGCTAAGACATTGGTTTGCTAGATGGGCCACCTTTATTGCACTTTTAGATGAATATTGGCCATCCATTCTAGGGTCTAAAATTTTAAGGAGCTTCTTATTATGATTCAACAGTGGACGTGCCCACTCAACCAAGTTGTGTTGTCTGCTGGGCCTGCTCTTGTCTAATGCTTTCCTTCCAATAAGCAACTCAAGTAGCACCACTCCAAAACCATACACGTCACTTCGAGCTGTTAAATGCCCTGTTCAATTTGACTCACAACTCAGTATAAAGACAAAATCGAGCAGCTTATCTACAATAAAAATTTACCATTTGACTATTAGCTTGACAATGTCAGTTTAGCATGATATAAAACTTTCTGCAATTCCCTAGCTGTATATGAGAACCAAAATTTGATTAGGCTGAAAAGTGGGAAATAGAAAACAGCTGAAGTAGCTATTGGAAACACAAGATTTTTTTTTATTTGTTTTATAATTTGTTAATGAACTTATCCCTATAAAAAGGAAATTCAGAAACATACCTGATAGAAAATGAGAATTCTATATATTTCGAAGAAACCTCCTATAGAAGGAGATGCAAGGAAATCTATTTTGCTTTTACATCTTATTACTTTCTGGCCTTATTTTATCTAGCATGTGGGTTGTTTAATCATTATATGTATTAAATGGGCAGCAAGTAGAATGTTTCCTTCATGAGAAGAAAACCTTGTACTCCTTCAATCCTAAATATAAGACCTATTTTGTAATGTAAATTGTACTACAAAATAAATCTTACATTTAGGATCGGAGGAGTATTTTATTTTTGCTTTTGAGTTTTCTTCGTAAGGAAACCTTAGCAATGGCTTCTATAAATAGCCACCATTCAATGCAAGGAGACTTGAATGAATATTGTGTGGGGCCTTATTCAGAATCTGTGATATGTCTCCCTCCTTGGTGTCTCTCTCCCTCTCACACTTCCCCCTCAACTTTCTGATCGTCCTCTCCCTCCTTCCTCTCTGTTTATACGTCTCTTCTCCCCAAACGTCCTCTGGTTGCATTAGAATAAGTGTTTGAGTGTGTTGCATCAATACAATAACGTGTTATAAACAGTATCGTGTAGGAAGGGAAAGAAAATATCCAATATCAAGAAAATTTGCTATAAAATATGAAAGAAATAATTAGCACAGAATTCCATCCACGGATTGAATCCTTGCAGGTTGAAAATATCTGGTGCTCTTTACGCAAAAACCCACATATTTATCTTTGGTTAAATATTTTTGGTGGTGCTTCTTCTGGTGCATTTTCAAAAGCCACATCTGGTTTCGAGAAACAACCAAGGGTATTCAAGCTATTACAAGTTGAAATAGTCTAAAAGGATCTTCCTATTTTAACTAAAGGCTTGATACAACTATTTTAACTAAACTGGAATAGTTATATTCTCATGTTTTTCATTGTTTTCACATAAAAACACAAAATTGGCTCTATCCTTCCACAAATTCTAGATACACAACCTCACATATTTTATTGACTCTTATAATGAAAATAAATTATTCTATCAATTTCCTATTTCTGATTTCATAGCTATAGGCTTCGTGAGTCTTTAATTTTCACCCCCATATTATTTATTCAAATTAATTTATAGCATTGCAAACCAAAATAAATAAATAACATACTCATTATTGTCATTCTTAGAATAATCAACAATTTTTTGAAATATTACCAAACACTGTTATATGTTTGTAATTCTGACATAACGGTAGGAAGGGTAGGTGAAATGCCGATAGTTAATTAACAACATTAGCCGTTATTAATTCTTCCCCTGCCTATAAATGTATTCCGAATACACAATCATCAAATGTGTGTGTATCCTCTGTGAATGAATACAGTACTATTGTGTGTGCATCCTCTGTGAATGAATACAGTACTATTCAGTTCCTTGCCTTGCTGTTCTTCTCTCCTTCTCTCAACTGCTTTGTCTCTCTCGTTCTCTCTCTTTCCCTCTTTCCTTCTCTTCTTCTACTTCCAATATTATAGAGGCATAACACATTATCAATCAATTATACTTTTAAAAGCAGCTTTTAGCATTTTTAGTCTTTTCTGTACCACCCACAGTATAAGTACCCTTCAGAGCAAGGGGGGGACCACATTTACAAACAGAGCCAAGTCAACTTTTTACTTTAGAATACAATGACATGATAATATAATATGCAACTTTTGCTTTTCACTTCAGAGTTGCCTAACTTTACAAACCTTTAGGAAATCGAAATAACAAAATAGTCCAGCATAACTTGCATATAACAACTCACCAGTCATCACATACTCAGGCGCAGCATATCCATATGTGCCCATCACACGCGTTGAAACATGGGTTTGGTCTCCCATAGGTCCATCCTTTGCAAGACCAAAGTCTGAAAGCTTTGCATTGAAATCCTGCAGGTTATACCTCAACAATAAATTATACACACACGCGCACATAGATAATCTTGACAGAATTAACTCATTCAGTAATGGCATGCATGGAAAGATATTTAAGGGGAAAATGACTTGTTCTTCTATCTAGTTTAGCTTTCGAAATTTCTTAAAAACATGTGCATTAGTGGAGGGTCATACTATTATTAAGAAAGAAAGTCTTCCATTTATAAAAAGGGATGTAGAGTAACAAAGCAGCAGAGAGGTAAGAAATCCAAAATTCAAATAGAAACAATAAGACGTAATAAGCATTCAAAAGGACAAAAATACATGCACCATGCAGCTTAGAAATCCATCTGCATGTTGGTCAGACAGACCCCAGATTAATCCATTGCCTGAGCACCATAAGGATGCCAAAAGAAATAATATCCTCGGTCTTTTAAACAGTTCACATCTAGCAAATCTGATTAAATAAGAAGGAATGATATATAGAATTTAAATTTAAACATTTATTTCTTTAAAATCCAAAAGTAGATTGTGGTGTTTAAAAAACCAGCTAGTTCAGTACCAGCTAAAATTTCATCTTCTAAAATTACATGATTAGGGTAAAAATATTACACTTTTCAGCTTTGTATAACAATGAAAAATTTAGTTTCTCTGGAAATTCCCTTTATCATTCCCACACAACTAAAACCTAGAGTCAACAAACCTCATCGAGCAAAATATTTGATGTCTTGAAGTCGCGATATATGATGGGCCTCTCTGCCCCATGAAGAAAAGCAAGCCCTTTTGCAGCATGTAAAGCAATCTTCATTCTTTTTGACCAAGTCAGCATTGAGCCCACTCCTGCCATCAGTGAACAACAAAGTTCTTTATACTAAACATGGCGGACACATATTTGCTCTACAATTTCTTTTGCAGTGATGTATGCGAGGTGCTTAAGCAATCAAGAGGTGAGGCTAGAGATATTTAACCTCTTTGACCCTGCTGCTAACTTTCTCCTCTAACAGTCACTTTTTGAGAAGTGTTGTAACAATGAACCAATTTGGGGTTTGGTCAAATCTATAAGCAAGAATTTACAAAATGTTTTCCTGTTTTTCATTGATGTTTGCAATGTGCTTAAGCAACTGGATGATGAGACCCATGAGATTTAGCCTGTTTGATACTGCTGTGAAAATTCTACTTTAACAGTCACTTTTTTGAAAGTGTACTAACATACATGCATTTTAGACTTTGATCAAATTCTTAAACAAGCACTTTAAGCATTGTCATTAATGCCTGAGATAACATTTGTTCTTTTTCGCTTGGGTATCTCAGTCAAATGATGCTTTAATATATAAGCTCCAATTTCTAGCTTCTCCACCTCAAAGTAGAATCTTCAGACCGTCAGGCTCAAAAGTAAAATTGTATTCGGCAAACAGAAGCAAAATAAAACTTTTTCACAAATTAAACTTAAAGGGAAAAAAAAGGCCGAACAAACAGCTTTTCTCAGCTTAATAAGTACTTTTTCAAGACTTCCTTTTCTGAACCTGAAATTCAAGACTTCCTTCTAGAGGGCATTTTGCCAACAAAATGGATTAGTCATTTGACAGTGAACAGGTTGAATAATTCTTGCATATACGAATCTAATTCATTATGTTCAGGGCAAATAGTTATATATCAAACCTTGAAAATGACTGACAACATAAGATCCCTTCAACTGTTCCTAGAAGACAACAATATCATAACCATGCCAACTTAAGTCCACCAAGGCAGTGCTATAAGAAAAAATCAAGCTATTTCAGTAATACATTCTTCAATAAGTAGAAAGTGGAAGACAGCAAACGCATTAGCTCAAGTGTCTAAGTACCATCAGATGTCTTGTGATCAAGACAGAAAACTCGTGTTGGGAAATTATGGGCATCATTGGCCCTGTGCTATACACATGTTGGTCAACAACCGCCTACATAAGAGGGAGAGATAGGACTACCACATCTCTACCACAGTTTTGAAGCTCAGGCAATTGTCTGTCAACAAACTTTTGGATTAATAGATAAGTGTTCAACTTCAGTCAGTTCCAAGACAAAAAGATCAACCACCCAGGTCCACATCCAATTAAGAAACAGTATGAAAATTAATGGGGTGTTTGGCATTCTCAAAACCGCGGTTTCAGAAGCACTTTTCCACAAAACGAGATAACCTCCTCTACATATTTACTTCGTAATCCGTAAAAACACTTCGAAACCATGGTTTAGTTTCTATCCAAACACCCGTCAACAACCAGATATTCATCTATAAACTATTTCTAATTTATAATTAAGATTCATCTGCCGTAGCAACAGAAGCTTACTGCGAAAAAGGTGTTTTTCCAAGCTCCCACTTGCCATGTATTCATAGACCAGTAACCGATGTTCATCCTCACAACAATATCCAATAAGCTTTACAAGATTTGGGTGGCTGAACTGACCTAAATAGTTGACTTCAGCCTGCAAGTAAATGGATGCAATTGAAACATATATAATATGTTAGTGGCATCAAAATTAGGTGGCTTGATCCTCCTTATTGCTACTTGGATCAAGTCATTTTTTCCTTTTTCTTGATAGGATTTAACAACACCTTGTTTTGCTTCAATAACTATCATTTAAGTAATTCAAACAAGAAGATAAAATCAAATTCCGTGCTTCAAGATTTCAAGAAAAAATCATTTCAAAGGAATGAATGGGGACCAACAAGAATTTGAGTGAGAAAGATCAGTTACCAGCCATTCCCTGTCACCCTGAATTCCTTCTCGATTTAGCTCCTTGATAGCTACCTGTGTGGCCTTGTAACCTGGCCTCACATTTTCATCTATCACTCCTTTATACACAACTCCAAAACCACCCTCTCCCAGAATTAAGTCTGGACGAAAGTGCTTGGTGGCCAACCTCAGTTCATCATAGGAAAATATATCAACATTCCCATAACCAGGACTTTGGCGGAGATCTTTGATATTCATAGGAGATGATGAAGTGTAGCTTCTGCTTCTCTCTGGCTTAGCTGTTGGTGTGACAGATTCATATCCTACTCATTTGCAGTTACAGAGTATGTGTCAATATTGTTAACATGTAGTAACATCTATTTTTCAAGTGCCGACAACAAATACGTACTTTAGACACCAATTACCAGTGGAGACCTCCAGTTTCTCTTTTCTTCCTTTCGTCTTTTAATTGTTAACAAATAATAACAGACTTACGAGAGCAAGTTCAATTCAGAGTTGACCGAAACGTTCAGAGAAATATATATAAACCATGAGAATCTTCAGTGTGATTATATATGGTTACTAGTAACCCCCACAGCTACTCGTATAAACAATCACAGTGCACCAGTTTCTTGCATGAACTTAATCAATTACTAGGACCATATTGTTCATTAAGGTAAAAAAAATAACATGGAGGCCCTTGTGTGCAACTAACTAGATCTAAAGTATCCCCTTTTCCTCTCTCTCGATCTCAACTCAACAGAAAAATTCAAACGTCGCATGACATGCAAACATGAATTGCCCCTGCATTATCTTAGTTTTCTAACTTATATGAAATCCAAACGAAGATGAATAACTAAAGGCTGAATTAATACCTGGGTCCTTCGTATCAGAGTCAATGCTGAAGCAAATACCCATGAATTTATATATAAAGCGAACAGAACCTACATTTCATCGCTCTTCTGCCTCACAGCCTTCTATCTCAATGCAGCATTATACATTAACGCAGTAGCATGAGCTACAACTCCAAACAACTTAATACAAGACCACATTTGACATAATTTATCAGCTACAACTCCTTCGATCTGATTGACCGGAAAACGAACTAACTCCCGACCAAAATCGAAAATGATCGTTTGAAGAAATCAGGGAGAGAAAAATATGCTAGACAGGGAGACCAAGGGTTCGATGCAACGGAACGAGGAGAAGAATGACGGTTTGGTCCAAAATATTAAATTAACTACAGTCTGTCCCCAGCATTAAATTAAATTTAACGACAATTATTCCCCTATATATATTTTTAAGAAGACTATCATTAAAACAACTAAGAGTTTACTAACTTGTAAATAAAGTATTTAAAATATAATTCTCAATTTAGAACTGAAATAACTCATTATACATATTATAAAATTCTTACACATAAGATAAGAGATGATTCTTACATTATTGCTATGATAATTCGTAGGATAGTTGACTAAATTTTAAGAATAATTTAATTTGCTTATCAAGTATTATTTTCTTAGCGGATTCTTTAATTTCAATAATTATTTTCAGTGGTTGAAATTATTATAAGTTTTCAAAATTTATAATTAGTACTATTTTTATAATTTCATTATAAATTAGTAATGAGTTTCAGAAAATAAAAAAATAATACCAAAAGAGTAAAAAATATAGCCATATACGGAATGATATTTAAGTCAGTGTTTTAAAAATCAAGTTGAATGTGAAAATGAGAGGACTAACCGTTTATAATTCTCATGATTCAACTAGCTAGACCGTCGATCAAACCGATGACATTACAAATAAATAAAAAATAATATTATATGTATGTATAATAATATAAATATGAGTTTTAGAAAATGAAAAATTATACCAAAAGAGTAAAAAATATAGGTGAATGATATTTAAGTCAGTGTTTTAAAAGTTTGGATGGACTAATGGCTTGTCATCTTGAAGGAAGAAAAAAGACTCATGGCTCTCAAATTACAAGAGTTTGCCTTGTCGCCGAATTTAAATTGCATGGCGCTGAAGTCTCATCTCATCCACCTCAAATGTCCTTTCACATCATTATCTGCCTTTTATTTCTATACCTTCTTGAGTACTTAGCTTTAGTTACTGACCTTTCCACCTTGCTTTAAATGCACCATTTTATTCCTATTTATTATAATGTAGATAATTTTTTTAAAGGTGTATATATATATTAAATAAAAATAAAGTTGAAAAGTTATTACTTCTTACAATCCTTAATATAAAAAATAGTTTAATTTTTAATTTGATTTTAAATATAAGACTCAAATTTATTTATCTCTCATATTTATCTATTTTTAAAGTAGTTTTTATAGTAATTGCACATGTTAAAAATTTCATCAAATAGTAGTTATAGCTAATAATATAATTAGCAACGGTATTCTAGGGAGAGATAACACATATTTATTACAAATAACTAACTTAACAAACTTCCTTAATCTACTTAAATTACTCAACTAATTCTTATATTAAAGATTGAAGGTAATATATTTTAATGAAAATTTAATGCATTTTAAAGTTTTTCTTGGTGCGTGTGAAAGTGTCTTATAATAAATAAGATGAGATACTACCTCTAATTCTTAATATAAGATCTCATTTAACTTTTATTTTGATCCTAAAATAAGATCCCAATTAGAGCTGGTAAAACGGGCCAACCGCGGGTTGCGGGTTGGCCGTGGCGGGTTGTGGGTTGTTCGGTGCGGGCTCAAAGGCCCGTTTTCTGGCGGGTTGGCATTTTGCCAACCCTAACCCGCCAAGGTGGGGGCGGGCCAACCCACCAACCCGCCAAAATTTTTATTTTTATTTTTTTTTGTTTTTTTAAAATTTCTTATTTTTTTAAATGTTAGCAATTATATATAATACAAAATAAAAATACTAAAAATGATATAAAATATTAGAAACATCCAAAAAAAATTACAACACAAAAAATACAAATAGTATATGATTGTCCAATTTTCCAACATGATAATACACAAGTTCACACTTTTTTTTTTCAATGAAACCAATGAGCAATATTGAATAACCTTATTTATCTAATTATTTCTAATGACAATAAAGTTTGAAGTAAAAATTGCTTTACTTTTGTCTTTGTTATCTATTTTTTTAAAAAAAAAAATAGGTGGGTTAACCTGCGGGTTGGCCCGCGGGTTGGCGGGCCAACCCACCGCGGGTTAGGGTTATGGCGGTGCGGGCTCATATTTTCAGGTGGTGGCGGGTTGGCGGGTTTGACCCGCGGGTCCAACCCATATTACCGGCTCTAATCCCAATCTACTTTATCTCTCATATTTATATATTTTTTCTAAGATAGTTCTTCTAATAATGGTAGTTCTAGTCAAATACTCCTCCGGTCTTTAATATAATACCCGATTGTTGAGTTGGTTTTGGTCCTAAATATAAGACCTATTTCTCATATTTATCAATTTTTTCTAAATTACTCATATAGATACTCCCTCAACTATAATCAAGTAGAAGATGAAGATGGGGTATTAAGAAAGATGATTATGGTATTTTAGGAAAAACATGTCACATTTCTTATAATTAACTAACTTACTTAACTTCTTTAATCTAATTAAATTAGTTAAATGGGTCTTATATTAAGGACCGGAGGAGTACACTTGATTAGTAAGGATATTTTAAGAAAAACAACACCTATTTATTATAAATAGCTAACTTAACTTATTTTCTTAATCTCCTCGAATTAGTCAACTACTACTTCCAGTCCTTAATATAAGACTTTGTTTGACTTTTATTTTGATCCTAAATATAAGACCCCAATCCACTTTGTCTCTCATATTTATGTATTTTTTCCCAACATAGTCCTTCTAACAATAATAGTTCTAGCTAATACACTAGATTGGTAAGGATATTTTAGGAAAGATAACACCTATTTATTACAAATAACTAACTTAACTTCTTTTCTTACTCTTCTCAAATTAGTCAACTAGTTCTTATAAATAGAACTTAAAGTAATAGCTCTTATAATTAGGACAGGAAGGAGTATAAAATAAGATTCTGGAAAGCTTCACTAGAAGTTAAAACAAACTGTTTTAGCAGGGAAAGCATAACTCCACGTATGCACAGAAATCATTGCAAGTTGTCTCTGAGAATATGCGCACATAAAATATAAACTCGAGCTAAAGCTCATGAATTAGGTCATTTGACATGATAAGCGTATGAAATACATTCAACTTTGGGTTGATGCAAGTTGTTAGTGAATTGAATTTATTTCCTCGTCACTTTATGACTCATATTGTCGAATTGAATTCCTTCCAAGAGTTTTACTTCAAATCCATAATCATTTGTCTTAATCATGATTACATTATTTATGCTACGAAACCAATGTTTTTCTAGTTTTATTATCATCAAAACACGGATCCTAACTCATTATAATTTGTTACTATTAAAGCTTATATTAACATAATGTCATTGGCCATTATGTCTAACAGCAGTCTTTTTTTACTCACACTCAAATCAATGGGTATTTTTTTCTCTCTTTTTTTTTCCACTTCTTCTCTTTTTTTTTGGGTCCTTTTTTCACTTCTTTTTACCATTTTAAGTATTTTTTTGGTTTCTTCTCTTTTTCCCACCTTTTTCCTGTTTTTCTTTCACTGAAAAACAGTCCACAAAATTCAACAATACTTGGCTATGAACTCAATGAAGTGTCATAACGAAAAATAAACTCCTGAAAAAAAAAATAAGAAATTGACGCGAGAAGAACTCACAAATGAAAATCTTAGAAGACGGAAGAAAGGAAAGGAAAAAAAAAAAAAAAGAAATATGTAGAAGACAAGAAAAGACAACATGTTTTTTAAGCCACGCTTTAGATGCCAAATGATGTGAAACTATTAAGACTCTGTTTGTCATTATATTTAACTTCTCTCATATATTTATTTCGTATTTTGTAAATCATGATTAAAAAGTTTCTTATAAATCATTTTTAATGAGTCCTAAATAACCTGCTCTAAAAACATAAAAAACACTTGGTTAGCAATCATGGGAGTGAATAAATAATGAATGATGGGAATAAAAAGGACAGTTAAAATCTTGAAATTAAATACCCTATGAAAACACCATCAAAATTCATCATCCATGAAGAATGACGGCTCAAGAACACCAAGTATAACAAACACGAGCATATCAATGTCGTAAGTATCAAGGAGACGGGCAAGCATGCTTATAATACGATTAGGGAAATAATAGTATGATTGTTCCTTTTTTTTTTTTATTTAAACTAATACGTACCACACCATTAACGAATATACGTACCATTCATAAACAGCCTAACCAAGTATTTTGTTCTGTCAATCAAAGGACTTTAATTACTTTTTTTTATTCCCCTGGTATCGCACCATCGCTCTATTCATAAATGAAACTCGATCATATACATACACATCAACAGTTCTCACTTTTCATTCAGGACCTCATATACCACCTTGCTTTCCGAAGCTATACATAATTTTAGCGCATGCATGTATAAATACATATTAAATCTCCTTACTAATTCAGAAACAGACATCCAGTATTAAAGAAACCCAAATAAAAAGCCAAAAGGTCTTCCAAATAAGATATTCCCTTCTGTCTTCTGAAGAAAGAAAATAAACACACAGATACACAAGCAACAATGCAGTCGCCCTTTGCTTCCTGAGACTCACCCTGAAATTTTTTCTCTTTTACTCTGTTCTTTTGGGAACATTTTTTTGTGTCATTTGTTTTCTCCAGATTCTTCAGTCAGATGTCATGGGTTGCGTCATGCAACACCGAAAACGGGCCTTACGAACAGTCGTCATGATCTCGGTCTCTGCATTCTCTAGCATCGCCACGATTTGAGTAAAAGGTGGCCTAACGTCAGGGTTGGGATCCCAGCATCTTGTCATGATGTCTCGGAGAATGGGTAAGCAGTCGTTGGGTATGGTCGGGCGAACATTTCTGTTGACGACTGCAAATGCCGCTTGTACGGCTGTCATGTTCTGAAATGGAAGCATTCCAGTAATGAGCTCCCAAAGAACAATACCAAAACTATATACATCCACCTTTTGAGTGTAAGGCCTGTGTTGGATCATCTCCCTGCAACAGAGATTAAGAATCAGTAGCTTCGAGTATCATACCAAATCGCACATTTTTAAATTGAAGTGCATACAATAAGTCCACATTTTGGCAGGGTC